TCGTGGTGTAGCTGTTTGATGAAGGATTCTCGATGGAAGTTTTAACTTCTTAATGGAGGAGAGCAAGAAGGAGGAGGAATAGGAGTTTGGGGTTGGGAAGAAGATATCAGCCGAGTATCTGTTGGTTTCTCGACGAGTACCTAACTTCACTATATATATATATATATATATATATATATATATATATAATATATATATATATATTTTATATATATTATATATATATATATATATATATATATATATATAAGGTGCTGGCCAGACCCCTTATATAGCTTCCTTGGATGCTTTACTTTCATAGTTCCTTGATAATGTGAGTAGTCACGAAAGCGCTTGGAATTTCTCTATTCTTTCAGAGTGGTTGTTTTGCATATTCTGAAATCACCTGTTTACTGTGATATTATTGCATATATATATATATTTATATACATATATATATATATATATATATATATATATATATATATATATATATATATATATATATATATTATATATATATATATATATATATATATATATATTATATATATATATATATATATTATATATATATATATATATATATATATATATATATATATATATATATATATATATAGATATATATATATATATATATATATATTATATATATATATATATATATATATATATATATATATATATATATATATATATTATATATATATATATATATATATATATATATATATATATATATATATATATATATATATAATATATATATATGTCGTGCCGAATATGTAAAACTGGTCAATTAGCAAGAACTCACTTAAAATTAAGTCCTTTCTAAAATTTTCTCTTATACGTTTAAAGATATATATTTTCATTAATGTTGATGTAAAAATTTATAGTTTTGCACCGAAAGGAACTTAGAAAACTTACCTAACCTTATTATAACAAGCGCAGTTTATTTTAGCCTAACCCAACTAAATATATTTTAGATTTGTTTACAATAATTTAATACTAAACAAACACAGTGAAATATTTTTTTTTCGTTAGGTTCAGAATGATTTTGGCGAAATTATTGCATACACAAATTTTCACTTGTCCTATATGGCAAGATGAGCGTTGCTATTTAAGCCAAGATCACAAGCTCTGCCTATTCGGCACGACATATATATATATATATATATATATATATATATATATATATATATATATATATATATATATATATATATACATATATGGCAGAGTTATAATTGAAACAATTAAGAGTAAGACGGAGAGCAGGATCCCAGATGAACAAGGAGGATTTAGGAAGAGTAGGGGATGTGTAGACTACGTGTTTACAGTGAAACATGGATGAACAGAATTTAAATAAGGGTAAAGAGATTTTTTGTTGCATTTATGGTTTTGGAAAAGGCGTATGATAGATGTGTCAAAAGTTGCAAATGTATGGAATATGTGGTAGGTTACTGAAAGCAATGAAGAGATTTACGAGGACAGTGAGGCTCAGGTTAGCGTATGTAGGAAAGAGAGAGATTATTTCCCTGTAAAAGTAGGCCTTAGACAGGGAAGTGGGATGTTACCATGGTTGTTCAATATATTGTAGAGGGGGTTGTAAGAGAAGTGAATGTTCGGGTGTTGACAAGAATTTAAAGTGAGAGCTGTCACAGCTGCTGTTTGCTGATGACATTGTACTTTTGGGAGATTCTGAAGAGAAGTTACAAAAGTTGGTGAACGAGTGTGGTAGGGTAAGTACGAGAAGGAAATTATGAGTTAACATGGCAAAGAAAGACTGGATATCAGTGAATGTATTCGGATATTTGGTAGTATACTTGTCAGCAGATGGGTCTATCAGAGACGAGGTGAATCATACAACTGATGAGAGGGAAAGTGTGGTGCACTGAGGAGTCTGTGGAGACATAACGTTATCCATGGAAGTAAAGAGGGAAATGTATGAGAGTATTGTTATTCCAACGCTCCTATATGGGTGTGAAGCATGGGTGGTGAATGTTGCAACAAGGAGAAAGCTGGAGGCAGTGGAGATGTCGTGTCTGAGGGCAATGTGCAGTGTTAATATAATACAGAGGATTCATAGTTTGGTAATTAGGAGGAGGTGTGGGGTTACTAAAAGTATTATCCAGAGGGTTGAGGAGGGATTGTTGAAGAAAATACAATGACTTGGAGACCGTATAAATCCGTAGCGGAATGAAGGCGGGGTAGGAGTCAGCCTAGAAAAGGTTGGAGGGACGGGGTAAAGGTGGTTTTGTGTGCGAGAGACTTGGACTTCCAGCAACGTGTTAGGAGCGAGTGGAAACAATGGTTTTTATGACTTTACGTGTTGTTGGAGTGTGAACAAAGTAACATTTATGAAGGGATTCAGAGAAATCGGCAAGCCGGACTAGAGTCCTGGAGGTGAGAGGGCCCACCTATGGCAAGACAGTGATGGAGTGAATAGTGAAAGTGATTCTTCTTTTTCGGGTCACCCTGCCTTTGTGGAAAACGGCCGAGAAACAAATAAATAAATTACATATATTCACACACACACACACACACACACACACACACACACACACACACACACACACACACACACACACACACACACACACACACACACACACACACACACCGCGTGTGTGTGTATTATACACACAGATATTCAACACAGTGATCGTCTTCCACGAAAGTAAAATGTACTCAAAATAAGTGAAACATATTTATTCAATAGCTGTCTTCCCAGAAACGTGCATAAATCACAATTTAGACGACTCTCAGAATAGCAGCATCTTCACCACTCCTCCGGAGTGCAGGCACTGTACCTCCCATTTCTGCAAATCACTTCCGATAAAACGGTTTTCCTAAATTCTCTAATAAATGTTGCTAGTGCTTTCCCACCACATCAGAACGTCAAAGATTAAAATTCACTTGTCTCCACTCACTTTGATTTAGGATGATCACTGACGCCTGATGGATCGATCATCTACCACTTAGAACCTCCTTCACCACCTAACTCCAACCGTCCATGTTACGATTCCTATGCCTCCTTCCCTCCTTCTCAGATTTACAAACTCTCTTTTCTCAACCAGTTTGACTAATGCCTTTTTTTTTTATCCCCACAAAGTTTTCTAATTTTTGTGTTTCTATTTCTCCACTGCCTTTAGCTTCTTACCACAGACCCCTCAGCACAGCACCGACCGTTTTTCCTCTCGTTTATTCTATGGTTCACTTCGTCTTTCATAAACCGGTCTACTGTCAAGTCCATTCTCAAATACTACTTCGTCCATACTACCATTCTGATTTTCAGTATTTCATTACTTAAATGTGTTAGTTTCATCACCTTCCTTTTTTCTATCTTTACGTTTAAATTCCTTCTTTTACACTTCCTCTGAAACTCCTCCACCACTTTCGTAACTTCTCTTCAGAATCTCTTAAAAAACAGCCATCAGCAGAGAGTAACTGTGCTAATTACCACTTTAATCCTCAACCTCACCTCAACTTATTAACTTGTTTTACAGCCAATTTACAAATGCATTGCACCAATGTGGTGACGTAACACATCCCTATCGATGTCTTCCGCTAACTGGAAAATGGCGCTTTTCTTTCCTAAATGCCCTAACCAGTGCGTCACTTTTTATAAAAAGCTTTGTTTTTAGTAATCCTCTACGTGTTCCATAGGTACACAACATCTGCCACATTTCTCCCTTATCCACTCTTATGTGCTTATTCAAAATCCATAAATTCAACAAGGAGTTTCTTTCACTTATATACTTTTTTCACTTATATACTTCATTGTAAACACAGTCCACACATCCCCTCCCGTTCCTAAATCCTCCATGATCCTCTGCAAACCTCCATTCTCAATAATTTATCTATTCACTTTCCTTGATATTCGCAACACATTTAGTCCCCAACGGTTAGTCTTGTGGCGGTTCAAAGCAACTAGACACTCACTGTGGGGTGGTTTGCTGGAAATCCTTGGATTACAGTGCGTGGTCACTAGAAATACCTTAGTTACCCATTTCTTGGCCTGTTGTGTTAGTTACTTGTTGTCAAAGGCACTTGTTGAGAGAAAGAGAGAGAGAGAGAGAGAGAGAGAGACTTCACAGATTGTTAAATAAATCTTTTTCATTGAAATTTATATATATATATATATATATATATATATATATATATATATATATATATATATATTATATATATATATATATATATATATATATATATATATATATATAGTATATATATTGGACCAAGCCTAACTTAGAAATATCGAACATAGCCATTGCTTTATATGAGTTTAAATTTAAAATCACTTAATGAAAAAATATATATCATTGATATTATATTCTGACTGAATGGTGATAAGATATTGAACTGTTCAGTCATCCATTAAAAATATTTTAGTTTTATATGTATTAAATTTTCACTGTATACTATTATCATTTATTTACATATTTGTCAGTCTTTTAATTGTTTAATAAAATATTGGTTAAGAACTTATTTGCCAAGATCCTAATTAAATTTTATAGTGATATTGGATCTTTTATAATAATAATAATAATAATAATAATAATAATAATAATAATAATAATAATAATAATTATTATTATTATTATTATTATTATTATTATTATTATTATTATTATTATTATTATTATTATTATTATCACATGCACTGAGGCAGATAATGCGTGTTCAGTTGCTATAAGATTCTATGTTACTGTTGAGATTAATGTCTCATTAGCCATTACTATCTTGCTGAACCTTTCGTAAATACGCTTGTCTCTTTTTGTCTCTGACTCTTTCTCTCTCCATGTGTTAGTCTCCTATTTCCCTCCATATCTTCCACTTTCTCTTCCTATCCTTGCTTCTAGCAGAAAGTATATAAAAACTTGGTCTCCCTCAAACGAGTGCCTCTTCCCTCTTTCTCTTACTCTCCTCCTCTCTTTGTCTTTCCTCTCCTTCTTCCTTTCCTACTCTTCCGCTTCTCTCCCTACAATATAGAAAAGTGTGTTCTCCCACAGACGAGTACCCTGCAGCTATCCAGAGAGGCTGCCGAGCAACATCATGGAGAGGCTTCACACTGCTTGCCTGCCTCGCCACCTCTCTGCTCCACGTCATCTGCTGCTGCTGCTGTTGCTGCTGCTCTCCGCCACACAGATAAAGTCGGTTCCTCCGGTGCGGTAAAAGCTGGAGGTTCAACCACGAATAGTCGAGAGAACACCAAGAGAAACGTTCTGGGGCCAATCTTGTATTTTTTTCTCCTTCTTGATTCTCCTCCTCTTATTCATCCTCTCCTGCTGCTGTTACCGTTCGTTCTGATCGTTTTACCACAATTTCTGTCCCCGCTTCTGCCAAGTCCCGACAGACAGATAAGTCGACGGCCTTAGGGAACATTCAAGTAAGCATTGAGATAAAGTGATACTGAAGCCTCGTCTTACCATTTCTGGTCTCCCATCTCTCTCCTCTCTTCCTGCTAATGCTACTCCTGTTACTTCTGCTGCTGCTGCTGCTGCTGCTGTTGCTCCTGTTTATCCTGTTCCTACTACTACTGTTCCTGCTGCTCATATTTCTTCTACTGATGTTTCTAGTCCTAACACTGCTGTTGCAGTTCCAGCTGTGGCGTCTTCCACCACACTGATAGAGTTGATCCCAGACGAAGTAAATGCTGAGATAGGACATGAGAGACTCCGGAAGATATTAAGAAAGAGACAGGACCATCTCTCGTCTTCCGCTTCTCTTGCTTCCACTGCTGCTTTCCTTGCTACTGCTCCTTTTATTTTGTTGCTCTGTTTCTTTCTGCTGCTGCTGCTGCTGCTATTACTAATTTATTTTTCACTCTGGCTGTTGCGACTGGTAATTTCTATTTCTCCCTTTGTTGCTACTGCTGCTGTTTTATTGTCGCATCTGTTGCTGCTGCCACTCTTATTTTCCTTTTCTATCTCAGCTGTTATTTTTGTTTCTTCTGCTACTTTTGTTGGTACTGATACTAATGGTACTCCATTGTTTACTCCTGCTGTTCTCTCTACGGCTACCTTTTAATATTTCCTTGACTACTGTCCCTGGTAATTACGCTTCCTCTGTTTTTCCTGTTCTTGCGAATGTTATTTATGCTGATGAATAAGACATGTACAACACTTGGGTATCATCAACTTGTTTATATTGAATTCATTAAATATATTAATTATGCAATTGCCCATCACATGGGCAAGTTAAGGTTCACAATGAACCTTCAGTAATTAGTAATTTGTATTTATCGGTCCATAACTGAAGTATATGTCAGTGGTAACACCGATAAGTACGTTGATAAGACACAATATTTGGTTTATGGTATTTATTGACAAGGCATTTCGTCCATCCAGGATTTAATCAATATCTATGTCGATTCCTCTCGCCCCCTGCTGCTACTCCTGGAACTGCTGCTCCTCCTATTATTTTACTACTGCTGTTGGCTCTACTTCTGTTGCTCCTTTTCTTGCGTTTCTGCCGTTTATGCATATGTTCCGTTGACTTATTATTCCTACTCTTGTTACTGCTTCCACTTCTGCGTCTACTGTTTCGCCTTCATCTATTGCTACTGTTTCCCTTGCTTCAACAACTCGTACCGTTTCTCCTGCTGCGGCCCATAATTTCCTCCTCTGCAGAGGCTTATAGCCACAGTTAGCACTGAGGGACGACAAGGGATGGGACTGTGTTGTCTCTGCAGTGGTGGTAACTCCTCAGCATTCAGAACTCAAATAGACTTTAAGCATGACTGGAATCCAAACAGGACTGAAATCTAAACATGACCAGAATTCAAACATGACTGGAATTCAAGTATGACTGGATTCCATATGTGACTGGAATCCAGACATAGCTGGAAGCGAGACACCCAACCAATGAATTCAAATGACCAGCTCCCTCTATCGAGCCAAAGTATCACAGGAGTCTGCGTTGGTAAGCTCAACTTAGGTATCAGATCCCACACACACGCAGGTGAAATTACCCTCCATGATGGAACTAAATGACTTACTCCCGACAAAAGCGAAGAAAGAGGGACGCTGCAGAACGCAAGCTTTCACCGGGACAGAGTTCACTCTGTGCAGAGCTTAAGTCATGACTCGACAACTCTACACGGAGCGAAACGCTGCCAGAATAAAACTAGCAATGTGTAACTTCACCTATTTAACCCCTCGGGTTTCTTTTAAAGACTTTAGTGATGGTGAAGAGTGTGTATAGTATACGGGAAATCCCATTTGTTGACGTCATAAACAAAGTTTATCCTCGAGTCCTGAAACTTCTGTGGCGATAACGATTATTATAAAAAACTTACTGTGGCGTTTACGGTCGTTAATTGTATAAGTGAGACTTCTTTAATATTTCAAATTTGAGAAAATTTTCTCAAGTCACGGCATTTGTTTCCAATAGTTCCACGTGAGCGAATATCATGCAGTGCCGAGAAATGGATCTTACTGGCCAAGCAATGTACCAATAAGATTTACAGGATTCCTGTTGATTGGCAGGAAATCAACCAATCAGAGCTGAGGAATGGCTGTGAATGAGCAAGTAATCAACCAATCAGAGCAGGTATGCTTGGGGAATAATGAACTAATTACAGCCAAGAATGCTCCAAAATGACAGTTAATCAGCCAATCAGAGACTGTGAATGTTTGTACAAAACTTGTAAACATTTTAAGTTATTTTTGTATTCATCCCATTTTTTCTAATTTTTACCATTACTTCTGTATCATCATTATCATCACTAAAACTCATCTTTTATATTGTTTAAAATAATAATAATATTATCTTTATTATTACTGTCATTGTCATCAAATCCATAGTCCAACTATGACATACAATATAATTCTTATAATTGTTTTTTGTCACTTTTGTGAATATTTTCGACTTAGTTACAGAGGTGAGAGAACAGTTTGTAAGTAACAAAAGTAGCAGGTGAGTGTTCAATGTTATATTCAGAAATAAATGTATTTTACGTAACACAAATCTTACATTACGACAAATTTATTTCGTGATTTGTTTTTAAATTCGGTGAATTGGAGAACTAATTAATTTCCGTGTCTCTGTATCTTTTTTGTAATAAACGGTTGAATATTAAGTTGTTTAATTTTCAAAACACATTTACTGGACAAAGAAATGTCTCGATGTTTTGAAATATTAACGAAATATTTTATTGGTGTATATTTTAATATTCAGTTTCAGAAAACGGTATATATATATTTTTTTTTCTCCTTATAAGGCTTTTGTTAATACCTCAAGAACGCCTCGCCCGATTGGCTTCAAATTCAACGCTGGTGTAATAAAACTTGTCTGATATAGCAGCACCATGGATTGTTGGTGCAGAGGATATCTTCTACAACTCTATTGCTAGACACTGGCCCAACTTATTTGCATGGCTTACTTCCGCTAGTGGGGTCCCGCTCTCCTATGATACTCTCTCCAACTGCTACACCTCACCTTTGGCTTCAATATGGGTGTCTCCAATCCCAGGGCTCTGCTTTAGGCCAAAAGACAGAGAACCTTCAATCAAGGCTTAGGGACTGTACACCTTCCATCAAGTTAAGAGACTCAGCACACATCAAGGTTAAAGAGATGAACTCATATAAAGGCTGATAAACTGAACATTCATCAAGGTTGATAAATTGAACATTCATCAAGGCTGATAAACTGAACATTCATCAAGGTTGATAAATTGAACATTCATCAAGGCTGATAAACTGAACATTTATCAAGGCTGATAAACTGAACATTTATCAAGGCTGATAAACTGAACATTCATCAAGGTTGATAAACTGAACATTCATCAAGGCTGATAAACTGAACATTCATCAAGGCTGATAAACTGAACATTCATCAAGGCTGATAAACTGAACATTCATCAAGGCTGATAAACTGAACATTCATCAAGGTTGATAAACTGAACATTCATCAAGGCTGATAAACTGAACATTCATCAAGGCTGATAAACTGAACATTCATCAAGGCTGATAAACTGAACATTCATCAAGGCTGATAAACTGAACATTCATCAAGGTTGATAAACTGAACATTCATCAAGGCTGATAAACTGAACATTCATCAAGGCTGATAAACTGAACATCCATCAAGACTGATAAACTGAACATTCATCAAGGCTGATAAACTGAACATTCATCAAGGCTGATAAACTGAACATTTATCAAGGTTGATAAACTGAACATTCATCAAAGCTGATAAACTGAACATTCATCAAGGCTGATAAACTGAACATTTATCAAGGTTGATAAACTGAACATCCATCAAGACTGATAAACTGAACATCCATCAAGACTGATAAACTGAACATCCATCAAGACTGATAAACTGAACATCCATCAAGACTGATAAACTGAACATTCATCAAGACTGATAAACTGAACATTCATCAAGGCTGATAAACTGAACATCCATCAAGACTGATAAACTGAACATTCATCAAGGCTGATAAACTGAACATTCATCAAGGCTGATAAACTGAACATTTATCAAGGTTGATAAACTGAACATTCATCAAAGCTGATAAACTGAACATTCATCAAGGCTGATAAACTGAACATTTATCAAGGTTGATAAACTGAACATCCATCAAGACTGATAAACTGAACATCCATCAAGACTGATAAACTGAACATCCATCAAGACTGATAAACTGAACATCCATCAAGACTGATAAACTGAACATTCATCAAGACTGATAAACTGAACATCCATCAAGACTGATAAACTGAACATCCATCAAGACTGATAAACTGAACATCCATCAAGACTGATAAACTGAACATCCATCAAGACTGAAAAACTGAATATCCATCAAGGCTGAGAAACTGAACACCCATCAAGACTGAAAAACTGAACATCCATCAAGGCTAAAGGAGTCAATGTCTTGAAAATATAGATCCACCTTTACCCACAATCTCCAGTATAAAACGTGTCTCTGAATTTACTGAAGACGTCTGTTACACAGGCAAAACATTTCATCAATAAAGATTCCCAAGAGGTGTTGCATTTGGTATAATAGTATTGGATATACACCTCGTAAAATCAAATACAGTATGAGCAGCACAGGAATGAAAAAAATATACTTATTAACACATTGTAAGAAGTCCTAGAAAGTCTAGGAATCTAGCAGGCAGCAATCACAAGTTTTCCGGAACTGATCTTTAATAAAGTAATATACTATTGATGGTTTGTGATACCGTCAAGTTGAATAAGACGAATAAGATGAATAAGTTGAATAAGACTTAGGTCATCTTTATTGACTCCACAACAGACTTTTTCAGTCAGCCCTGGGGAAAAAACTTAACCTCACATAATTTAGAGACCTCGTATTTAGAGGAAATATGATAACGACATACAGGATACTTCAAGACATCAAGGAGAAAAAAAAATTCATCGTAAGAATAGAAAGAACAACCGGACATAAATGGAAGTTGAACTTCCAGATGAGAAATATTTTTCACTCATTCATGTAACCCTCTATCTCCCAAGCGTCATGCATTGCCAAGGGAATGGGAGGTAATCCGATTTAGTTCAAGAATGGGGAGGGTAACTCCAATTTAAAATTATCAAGAACCCTTCACCAGCAACGAGACCCTTTCCTTTGAAGGTTCAATAATAGACGGGTTACGACCAAGAGACTAGACGCCAATAACGCCAATTATTCGGCAGCCAAGAGGCGGGGCCAGTAGCTGAGACTCGTTTCTAAGAAATATTAAAATTTTTAATCATAAATTACAGTGTTCGAAAAATTTAACATAATGAAAACAAAGAATAAATTAATAGGAAAAAAATTGTTTAATTCATGTTAGGTGGGTCGTTCAGCGCAAGACGTGATGGAGACTTCATGTTAAATCTGCTGAGCCCGAGACACACATGCTTCCTATTTGTACTCACATATATGTAGAAGAGGACGAGGAGGAGAAGGACGAGGAGAAGGAGGACGAGGATTAGGAAGAGGAGGAGGAGGAAGAAGAACAAAAAATAATAATCCATAAAAAGCGTGACCGAAATAATTTGCAAGTTCATTACGAACTGTTTAAATCTGTATTAGAGAGAGACTGATACGGAACCTCTGGTCGAAACATGTACTTCGACGGAGTTAGAATCTTAAGAACCAGTCAGTTGGACAGTTTCTAAGAACCAGACATATAACTATTAATATTGAACCAACTGGGTAAACGACTCCTATAAACCAATCAGACGATTCGAAGCCAATCAGTGAAGTAACGACTCTCAAGAACCAATCAATTAACGACTGAGAACCACTCAGTTGAAAATCACGTCTGGAAATCTACATAAGGAAAGAGTGCATTTTCCCAGCAAATATTCAGAGTAAGGTATAGTAGGAGGGAATATGTATCAAAGTACAAGTTAGTGTCAGTGTACGTGCGAGGGCAAGTGTACGCTTTTAAGTGGGCGTGTGCATGCATTTATTTGTCAGTGTTTGTGTGGGTGTTTGCGTACTCGCGTAGTTGGAGTTCCAAAGGTCGATTCAAAGCATCGAGGACACCTTCATGAAGATCTACCCGCCTTTTCAAGGATCTTACTTTTTGTAATCTTTCATAGCTGTACTTTAAACTGCTCTGTACTCACCTGATTGTACTCGCCTAATTGTGGTTGCAGAGGTTGAGCCTCACTGCTGGCCGCTACTAGTCGTGCACACTCCTAGATGCGTGACGTCCTGTCATACCTATCCTTAAAGTGATGTATGGATTCTGTTTCTGCCACTTTGCTTTCAATGTCGTTCCAGTTCCTTACCACTCTACGGCTAAAGAAGTACTTCCTAGCATCCCTGTGACTCATAGGTGCTTTTAACTTCCATCTGTGACCTCTTGTATCTGAGATCAGACTCTGAAACACAAACACTCACCACCTTGTCAATTCCTCTAAGTATTTTGTACCTCGTAAACATGTCACCTCGAGAGTGTGTGTATTCACCGAATTGCACTCACCTAATTGTGGTTGCAGGGGTCGATTCATAGTGTGTGTGTGTGTGTGTGTGTGTGTGTGTGTGTGTGTGTGTGTTGATATTTCTTAAAGTAACTTCCATGATGTGGTATACAGAGTGATTTAGTATGGTTCAAGGCAGGACTTTGCGGAGTTGATTCCACAGACTGTGCGCCTGTTGACCAAACTTGGACGAGCAGAACCGACAACGGCTGCCTAAACATTGAAACTAACGTGAAAGGAATAATCTGAAATGGTAAGTGAACGATCATCCACCCTTCCTATTGTTCGTTCAAGATCAAAACTACGCTTGTTTCATACATCAACAGTATGTACTCACCTGCCTACTAACCCAACCACTCACCCACCCATCCATTCAACAATTTTCTGCGCATTCAACTAGCAATTCATCCGTACATTCAGTCAACCACTTAGTCACCTGTCCACCTACAAACGTATACATCCAATTACTCATCAAATCATCTATCCAACTACTCATCAAATCATCTATCCAACCATCTATCCATACACACACACACAAGAACCCATTTCTCCATCTTCCTGTCCACACACCCATTAATTGTTCTCCACCTACCCACCCATGTTCCCATTCACACGAGCTCCCACAGTACCGTGGATAAAATCAACATTAATCCACCACCTCTGTAGCCCCAGCAGAATGAAGCAGGCAGGTGAGCAGCAGCTTCAGGGGTGATTACCACTGGAGCCTTCAGTGTAAGCTGCTCCTGAGCACACAACTCACTCCAGTGCCCTTTCCACAGACCTCGCAACGTGCAGTGTGTCATATCACAGTCGCTTTAACTTAGTGACCTTGTTTTCTGCGTACTCGAGTTCTATTAGATAAGAAATATGCATGGCAGTGAGAAAGAGAGAGAGAGAGAGAGAGAGAGAGAGAGAGAGAGAGAGAGAGAGAGAGAGAGAGAGAGAGAGAGAGAGAGAGAGAGAGAGAGAGAGAGAGAGAGAGAGAGAAAATATGATATTAAATGCAGGGAAGCCTCTAATGGTATATCGTTTCACGCACGGAGGAGGTAAATCAAGTACAAAGAAAATATGAGAACACTACATATTAAACAGAAGACTGAGGCGAAGTGAGAGACGAAGTGGAGCTTCGAA